CGCCTTAGGCATTACAAGTACTTAGCCTATGCCAATGAGGTGACTAGGTCTTATACGGTGCCGAGGTCTTTTGTTAGCTCGGCGTTGTAGCCCTTAGGCTGGGGGAGCGACTTATAGTCCACTCTCCTAGAGTTCACCCGTGCCGAAGAGGCGATGGGGTCTTATAGTGCCGAGGTCCTTTGTTTGCTCGGCGTTTTGGCCCTTAGGCAGGGGGAGCGACTTATAGTCCACTCTCCTAGAGTTCACCCATGCTGAAGAGGCGACGGGGTCTTATAGTGCCGAGGTCCTTTGTTAGCTCGGCGTTTTGGCCCTTAGGCTGGGGGAGCGACTTATAGTCCACTCTCCTAGAGTTCACCCATGCCGAAGAGGCAACGGGGTCTTATAGTGCCGAAGTCCTTTGTTAGCTCGGCGTTTTGGCCCTTAGGTTGGGGGAGTGACTTATAGTCCACTCTCCTAGAGTTCGCCCATGCCGAAGAGGCGACTGGGTCTTATAGTGCCAAGGTGCTTAGTTAGCTCGGCATTTTTTGGCCCTTAGGCTGGAGGAGCGACTTATAGTCCACTCTCCTTGGTAATTAAGGTAATATTGCCTTAGGTTGACAATATTCCATGCCCGAGGTATCCGCTTCCCTTCTAGGGTTTCGAGCTCATACGTTCCTTCCCCAAGCACCCGCTTTACTCGGTAGGGTCCTTCCCAATTTGGCCTGAGCTTACCAACACTGGGCTCAGGTACCATGACTTCACGAAGAACCAGGTCTCCGACGCAGAGGTTCCGCTTCTTGACCCTGGCGTTATAGTACCGAGCTACCCTCTGTTGGTAGGTCGTGGTCTTAATGTATGCGAGGTCCCGTACCTCATCAAGTAGGTCGAGGTTGGTGTGTAGCTCATCTTCGTTTGCTTCGTCATTGTACACTTCCAAACGTAGCGTGGGAACCTCGATCTCGGCTGGGATGACTGCCTCGGTGCCGTAAGTGAGGTTGAAGGGGGCCTCGCCTGTTAAGGTCTTCACCGTGGTTCGATAAGCCCATAGTACCCTAGGCAGCTCATCTACCCACAGTCCCTTAGCTCGATCTAGGCGTGCCTTCAGTCCTTGGAGAATGGCTCTGTTTGTGACCTCCACTTGGCCATTCGCTTGAGGGTGCACCACCGAGGTAAAATTTTGTTGTATTCCCATATCTTTGCACCAGTTCTAGAATTTAATGTCCTCGAACTGCTTGTCGTTATCAGAGATGAGTATTCGGGGTAATCCGAAATGACAAACTATATTCTTCCAAAAGAAGTTCTGCACATTCCGCGTTGTGATCGTTGCGAGAGGTTCGGCCTCCACCCACTTAGTGAAATAATCAACTGCTACCACTAAGAACCTCCTCTGTCCTGTCACTGGTGGAAATGGTCTGAGTATATTGATCCCCCATTGTGCGAAAGGCCATGGGTTGGTGAGGTACTTTATGCCGACAGCGGGCTGGTGGTGGATGTTGGCGTGCTTTTGACATTTGTCACATTTTCTGACGAACTCAATCACATCTGCCTTCAACGTTGGACAATAATACCCCTGTCGTAGCGCTTTCTGGGCGAGGGCCCTGCCCCCCAAGTGTCCGCCGCATAAGCCCTCATGAGTGTCGCGGAGCACGAGCTCGGCTTCAGAGGGTCGTAAGTAGCGTAGATAAGGGAGCGTGTAAGATCTTTGGTACAGCCATCTGTCTATTATGACGTATTTGGCTGCTTGGCGCTCTACCCTTCTAGCAGCATTACGATCTACAGGGAGGGTCCCGTGTAGCAGGAACCTCGCGAGTGGGTCAATCCAGCTCGGCTCTACTTGTATGACAAGAGCATCCTCCTTTGGCCCCCTGAGGATGCTAGGCCGAGGCAAGTTCTCTATGTACACGGTTCTCATGGYGTTGTCGCTTGTGCTGGCTAATAGGGATAGGGCATCGGCCTCAGTGTTCTCGGATCTCGGGATCTGCTTGATGAAGTAGGACTAGAAGTTGAGCAGGGCCTCTCTGACTTTGGCTAAGTAGGCGACCATGGTYGGCTCRCGAGCTTCRTAYTYGCYAGTGACCTGGTTGACCACGAGCTGGGAGTCGCTGCAGATAACGATATGCTTAGCTTTCACTTCGCTTGCTAAGGCCAGCTCGACTATCAGTGCCTCGTACTCCGCTNATAACGATATGCTTAGCTTTCACTTCGCTTGCTAAGGCCAGCTCGACTATCAGTGCCTCGTACTCCGCTTCATTGTTGGATGCAACAAACTCGAAGCGTAGCGCATACTCCAATTTCACACCGCTTGGCCCATACAGAACGATTCCAGCCCCGCTACCCTGCTAATTTGACGAGCCATCCACATGGAGGATCCAGGGCTCCTCATCCCAGGTCGGTTTTGGTCTAACCAGGAGAGAAGCCGCGCTGGTTGGAGCTTCCTCGCTGCGCTCGGGCACAACTAACTCAGGGACCTCAGTGCTGAAAGTGCATTCCGCAACAAAGTCAGCTAAGGCTTGGGCCTTAATGGCAGTTCGCGGTTTGTACTAGATGTCATACTCGCTGAGTTTGATTGCCCACTTCGTCAATCTATCGGAGACCTTGAGCTTGAGCAAGACTTGCCTCAGAGGCTTATTGGTGAGGACGACGATTGTATGAGCTTGGAAGTATGGCCGTAGTTTCTGAGTTGTAACAACTAGCACGTATGCCAAATTTTCGAACTTAGGATACCTCGTCTCTGCTTCCTGCAACACTTTTCTAACATAGTAGATGGGTCGTTGGACCCGATCTACTACTTTTGTCAGTACCGAGCTGATTACCTCATCACTCGCGGAGAGGTACAGCTCCAAAATGTCTCCCTCCTCGGGTCGGGTTAACACCGGGATACTAGCGATGTACCTTTTGAGCTCGTCAAAAGCGAGTTGGCACTCTTTGGTCCATTCAAAGTCTTTGCTTCTCTTAATTGCCTTAAAGAAAGGCAGGCAGTGATATGCCGATTTAGACATGAAGCGGCTCAGAGCGGCTATTCGACCATTCAACCTCTGAACCTCCTTCAATTTCCGGGGTGGTCTCATATCTAAGATGGCCTTGATTTTATCAGGGTTGGCCTCAATACCACGTCGGTTAAYGATGTAACCTAGGAATTTACCTGAGGTGACACCGAAAATGCACTTATTCGGGTTTAACTTCATATTAAATGTGCGCAAAATTTCAAAAATAGAGTGCAAATCTTTTATTAAATCACTTGAAAATTGGGTTTTGACGACCATGTCGTCTACATAACACTCTACTTTTTTGCCGATCAACAACTCAAACAGTCGATCTACAAGTCTTTGAAATGTTGCCCCAGCATTTTTCASTCCRAAGGGCATGACCTTGTAGCAGTACAGGTCGAACTTGGTTATGAAGGCCKTTTTTTCTTTGTTAGCAGGGTCCATTCTGATCTGGTTGTAGCCCGAATAGGCATCCAAGAAGCTCAGCAACTCATGCCCTGAGGTTGCGTCCACCAAACGGTCGATCTTGGGGAGTGGGAAGCAATCCTTCGGGCAAGCTCGGTTCAAGTCGGTATAATCGACACACATGCGCCATTTACCATTAGCCTTTTTTACCAGAACGGGGTTGGCTACCCAGCTCGGGTAATGGACTTTCCTAATGAAATTGGCTGCGAGGAGCTTTCCGACCTCCTCATCAACTGCTCTTCAACGCTTCGGGGCTAGGTTGCGTTTCGTCTATCTAACGGGCCTAAATACAGGATCAATGTTCAGTTTGTGAGTGATGATTTTAGGGTCTATGCCGGGCATCTCGGCCGCGGACCATGCAACAACATCTAAATTTTTAAGTAGAAAGCTTACCAATTGAGATCGTAGAGGCTCCTCGATTGAAGCGCCT